GAAGTTTCGCGATTGCTGGAATTTTGTAGAAAATCGATAAGCCCACCTCCATCAATTCACACATCAACTTCGCATCATCCACATTAAGACCATTATCTTGGAACTCTACCGAATTAGTCTTTATCCCAACCAAAAAGCCAGTTGATGCGCTGATTTCTTCCCTTAATAAAATAAAATGGAGGATACCATTTTCCAGTAGATTACTTAGCAATCCTTACCTAATTCCTTCAAAAATTTCTTGGATCACTCGCATACGGTTTTTAGCTGAACCACCATAGCGATCAGTACGTTTATTAGTGAGAGGAGACATAAATTGAGAGAGCAAGTAGCCATGGGCTGCATGAATTTGCACTCCGTCGAAGCCTAAGATTAAGCAAACTAGAATTCTACAGCCATGAATTTAAATGCATATTACGAACTTTTGAAAATTTGTCATTTTTTATTATGATGGGATTTTCCTGGCTCTAACCAAACTTTTTGCAATCTCCAGTATTTTCACTGCGTTAGCCTGAATAAAATATTCGACTAACCTTGCTCATATGCGAATTTGGCAGCAAACACGAAACGGTCAATGACTTCGCTTTTGATTTGTTCAACAGACAATGGTATCGGTTTTCCAAAGCCCATAAAACGCCTTTTAGCTGTCAGCTGTACATCCGAGCATGAGAATGGATGAGGATTGATAAGTTCTGGCGTTTGCCGTCCTGCCTGAAATTGAAGAAGTTTATAAGACAACCTAATATCGGCTTTAATCTTTTAGATGCTGATGTATTGGAGAATTTAGAGCTTTGCACGGAAGGCTTCATAGGGTTAGGGTATCCAGCAGGGAGAAGAGAATGCCAATAATTTAAGAGCTTCTCTGGTTTACAGTCATTTATCGGTCAGACCACCTTAGTAGGAGTGTTCCGTCATAAATGCAATCTGTTGTACTACTATAGTTTCCCAATGCTCACATTCTTTTTCACAAATGCACACAATTCGAACATAGAAATGGATACAGTTGAACACCTACTTGAAATTGCTTATACTATCCTAAGTCTCCTTCGGTTTGAAAACGAGGAATTTCATTTAGGTTCTTTGTATCTCAATTAAAGCTTATATTGTCAAAGCATAACTAGATTCAGAAAGAAGCAAAATTACTATATTGTAGGTCGTTCACAGAGGGCATGACAAGCATTGAAAATTCGAAAAACCACCATGTTGGTTGAAAGCATGCATCCAGTGTTGCATTAAACTAACGTAGGATCGCCTCTTGTCAGAACCGCAGGCTTTTGATGTAAGAGTTTGAGCACCTCAATTTTCACATCTATCTCCATCTGACGAAATTTTCCTGGGTGTAGGTGCGAAAGAAAAAAAACTGACCAGAAATTGCTTTTGATTGTCAATTATTAGAAATTTTAAAATTGAACACTATTACTGTTAGGAGCAACTTTACTTAACTCAGCTAATGTTGAACCCAATTTTGAAGCTCCTCATTAGCTTTGAAACGCGTAGTATTCAACGATTCTATTGCTAGCAAATGCATCTGACGTTGGAAGCGTTGCTTAATCAAAAGTTAAAATATCCTTTGGATTCGAGCACTTAACAACGTTTCGAAATCACGGTTTTGAAGGTACTGAAATACTTCTTTACAATGATAGATGCGCAAACAAT